CCAACATCAGCATGGTCAGTTTTTCAAGGTTTGACACACAAGTTACTGCAATGTGATGTGAAGGAGTCCAATCTCTTTTCATAATTAAAATCTAATTATAAATCTACCGGAAGAATGTAACTTGGGAAGAATTATCTGTCAGCTGCAGCATAACAAAAAACAGGACTCATAGAAGTGTTGACAAGACAGCGTAGGATGTTTCCTGTCAACATGGCCACAGACAAATGGCAGCCCGCGACAACACAAGCTGGCGCAGTCATAAATGACAGAGTACTACAGGCAAGGGTGAGAGCCAAAACACACTCATTAGGCTTCTGTAAAGTCTATTGAGACAAAACAGAAAGGAAATACAAAACCAAACTGAACTCTCACGGTAGCTTCACACCATGTAGTTAAGTGGAGCATCACAGTTTGGCCCCATATTGTGACACAAGCAAGTAACTGTGTGACTTGATCAGTAAATCTCATAAAATCTCTCAAGATGTAAAATCAGTTAAGACAAAAAACATCTCATGAACCTCTGATGTAAAAACCACATGATGGTTGTTGTTGTGTCCTAATTTCCACCTCATGTTTAAATGGAGGGAAAAGAGCCATTTTTCCAGCTGTGTCTTGGTTTTTTTGGATTTTCTGAAATTGCGTGACAAATCCCTGTCCTACAGAGGAGGATTAGGGCCATTTGAAAAACATTATGTAATGCTATTATCCAATTCCTCTGATATTTTTGTGCTTTTATCCTTTTATTCTAATTTTAATTTTAAAAAGCTCCAATAATTTATTTTCACATAGCACTACTTACTGTACATCTGACAAATAAAACTTTTTATTGATACAACATGTTATTACACTTGCATGTACAATGGCCATATAGAAATAAGGGAAAAGATGTTCAAATGATATAATTTGCAGAACTTTCTTTGCAGCTAGTTTAACATCATAATGATGCACTTATTATTACTAGTTCCCAAAACCTTTAACTGATGGCTAAAGGTTTATATACTGTATGTTTGAGCTGTACTGCAAAACCTGTACTATACCTTTAACAGGGACCTGCCAGCCAATCACTAATACATATTTTCTGTCAAACATAACTGATCCTACACCAAACTGCACACCTCTTATTGCTTTACTAGAGTGCCGCATTGAGCAAAGCATTTGCATATGATTTGCATGAGTTGTAACAGTTCTCCCAAATCACACACACACAAATATGCCACATGCACAGGCAGATGATCAAGGAATACTGTTACACACAAGTGTGAAACTACTACCACCTCAATGCAGTGGACGTCAGTGGAATTTCATAAATAACCGAGCACTATGTACTTAAACATAACAAATACATAACCTGCAGCAATGTGTTTTACCGAAAATACGTCCCTGATACTCTGGATAATTCACACACCTAGTTGTCATCAGATTTCATATGAATCATTTCTACAATGCAAAGTATCTAAAAGGAATGATTTAACATTTTGAGGAAAACACTTGATTTCTTCTCCTGTTTGATGAATACAGAGCTGGAGACTTGATTTATTGTCCTGTTTGATGAATACAGAGCTGGAGAGACAAAGTGCTATAGCTCCACATAAAGACTGAAAGCAGCAACATACACCTCCCGACACGTCAAACGCTCACTAGTTAACATTAATGAACACAAAAACAAAAAGGAAGTAGAAACCTCAGCAGCAGACGTCTCAAAATCTGGGTAAATAAAACCCAAACTATGAGCACGGCTAGACACCGGAGTAAGTGATAAAATACATTGATTTGGGTGAACTAACACTTCAGTGTGATGACTGTGGTCAGAGGAGATAATGATAACAATCATATTTCCATTAAGACATCCATTATGAAATGTGGTATTGCAGAAAACAGAGCACTGCGTGTCAAATGTTTTCACCTTTTCTGCCTGAGCAGAAAAATAAAAGCAGGCTGAGTTTAAGCGGTTTGCTCTGGCCAGAAAAACATTGAGATGTATGAGCTTTCAACATGGGAGCTGACAGAGAATGGGCTGCCATTTGGCCTAAAAGCCACCACAGCCCCAAATCATTACCACTGTATTCACTTGCAGGGATAAACAACCACAATTCATCTGGGGGTTCGTTTCT